TCAACGTCCAAGCCGCCATTTTCCCGGAGCTTCCGGGAGTACAAACAACTGCTACTGGTACTGCTAGTCACTGGGGGCCCAGCTCCCAACCAACCAGCAACGCATCGAGCCAGCCGACGCCACTTCCAGCCCACCTCGACCACTCACTGTACAGCATTGACATCAGCGGCCAGTATGATAGCTGGCAATAACCCCCAGGAATATGTTAGGATTCTAAATATTCTCTACAAGGCAAATGGTCTTCCAACTTCCAACGTTCCTGAGGAAGTTTACAACATCACCACTTCATCCTCAAGTTCTCGCGATCCGGATCCGGTCCCTAATATCACCGTGAACGCCGCCGTGCTGACAGATCTACTGTCAACAGCTACAACGCCTGCTCCTCTTGCAACATCATCACAAGGCACCCAGACGCCGACGCCACCTCCGACGACAACTACCACAGTTACACCTCGGCAGGGTGTATTGACAGGGCTTGGGTGCATGGGTGAATTGTGTAAAAACCTGGTTTGTGTCTTGGAGAGACTGCAGGACAGGTAGGTCAAAATGATTTCCCGGTTGCAATTCTTTTCCATGTCTTAGCTCAGACATATAAGGCAGCGTCTGGGATCCTCTCGGACGTACGTTCGAACCCTCGTCACGGCCCTTGTGGATTTGTTCATTTGCTCAATTATGGTATTTGTGCTTGGGGTTCTACTACTCAAAATCATCTACGTCCTCTAATTACTCAACACAAATCTGCTATTAGAATATACTAAATATCTTATCTAATTACAAAAGGTACTCTCTAAACAGGAGAATAGGCTGTAACAAGGTTATACCAACCACGTACATCTTTCCCGCAATAATAGCGAGCAAAATAACAAGCATGTTCAGCTAGGTTAAGCCTTGGCACTATATTCATTATTTAAACTCCTCTTCACAAACTTTTCTAATGCGTCTACATCAATGTCTAGACTTTTATTAATGTGAAATATACCGGTAACTAAGCACCAAACGGGGAGGTTTAGTTTAGTTCATTTATTATGCACCCCATACCCCAACAACCCCATCTTGTGGGCGGTAGTGGAAAGGGTTACAGAGGCACATAATGGGCTCAGGGACTGAACCCCACAATTCATACAGCTAAGCAAGTTACATGCAAATCCGAAAAAAAATACTTTCAATGAATAAACGCACTAAATTTATGCAGCTCAATATATATTGACAATAAATTTTGTCATAATGTAAAGTAGGTTTGAGTTGTATTAATTGTTACTCCCCATAGGGAGCGGACTAACGTCCTTACTAAAAAAAACCCATGGAAATTCCACAGTTGATTGTGAATCTCACTGCTCAGCCTGTGCAAGCCTCCTCACACCCGGTAAACCGAGAATGAACGGTCATCAAAGTCCTAGATCAGGGACCTAGAACTGCTTCCCGCTCAGAGGCTTGCACTTAGCTACATCATCACAGTGTGATTCTTTCCAAGTTTCGGACAAGGAACTCGGCAATCATACTATAGAATTGATCCTATGAAGTATGATCATGTCGAAACACTAGTCAACCCGACGACTCCCATATCGCACTGCGCACCTACGCTGTACCGGTATCCTTCTTATCTAGTTTATGCTCATATTAATAGCAAACAACAAAAGTAGAAATTATATGCATAAGCATACCATGAACGTATACAAATACAATTTATAGCATAGTTAAATAATAAATATTAAGAATTATCTGATTTTTGTGTCCTTTTAAAAGGTTGTATTGATAAAGGCCCATCACCTGAAACGGGCACAATTACTGACCAGTATCTACATTATGTTTTGAAATTTACGGACCCTTTTGCAGCCTATTGAGGGCAAGTACTTTGCTTAGGAGAGATCTTGTAGTTCTCAGTAAATTATAATAAGCATTCTATCAGATATTTAATTTAACGACAATAATTTTATGTGAAAAATAATTTAATATACAATAGTTTATGCTTTAATTAGTTGTAGAGGATGAGTCTCATATGAAGTGTTATAGAAAACGAATATTCCAAGGCCGCCCCTGGAAAGGGTACACTAAGGGCCCAAGATGGAATTACTGGTGTCGATTTCACCAGTGAATTTCGTTTAGTTTGCCTCAGATCTACAAGATTTTGTTGAAGTTCTTGGTGTACTACTGCTCTCAGATTGCTCATTGACAATCCAAGGTTACACTCAACGTCTCCTTTAAAAGCAGATTCTTTGGCTAACTCATCAGCTCTCTCATCATCAGCAGCTCGTTTAAGGTGCTCCATATGTTTATATAATTGTTGCATGGCCCGCGTCAGAGATGCCGACACTGTTGGCGGTAATGAACCTTATACCCATCCTGAGGTGGTAGCTAGTGGACCTCATACCCATCCTGTGGGCGGTATTAGACCTCATACCCATCCTGTGGGTGGTAGTGGACCTCATACCCATCCTGTGGGCGGTATTAGACCTCATACCCATCCTGTGGGTGGTAGTGGACCTCATACCCATCCTGTGGGCGGTATTAGACCTCATACCCATCCTGTAGCCGGTAGTGGACCTCATACCCATCCTGTAGGAGGTAGTAGACCTCATACCCATCCTCTGGATGGTAGTTGAATCCATATCCATTTCCTGAACTGTAGGTGACCCCATACCCATCCCTTGAGTTGCATGTTGTTGTTGTTTTAGATTCAGCTACTCAGAACAATAAGTTCCAGTAGCACGGGCTATGGTGAACCCGTAAGTGGAGGCTCTTTGGAGCCATTATCTGTATCAGTGCCTGATACTAGAGATGTGGCGATGGATGGGGTCTTCATGATGGTTTTCAGCCTGGAGGGCTGGCTATACCAGTTATGGAGCTTGTGGGGTTAGTGTAGACCTCTAGGTTTTTCGTTTTTTCTTTGCCTGCGACTTTGGCTGAGCAGTGCTGTCGTTAGAGTTTGGTGACGTGGCCTCCATGAGGAAGTCTTGAACCGTGTTGGTGTCGTATTTGTGATGCGGCGGTGGAGCTCCTACTATGATTTCCTCGTCTGAGGAGTCCGTAACTTCCGTAGTGGGCGTTTTTGTCTTTCGCCTCGCAGCCTTATATATAGGTAGGTTTAGGTGTCGTTGATTGGTGGTTGTAGCTATTTACATTCTTGTAGAGCCACTAGTACGCGTAGCGTTTCGGGCAGGTCCCTGGAATACGATCCCCGCCGCGAAGAATCGTTGTTACAACCAAGTACACATTTTACTGTTGAGTTAAACAGAGGCTACAGTTAAGGATTTGCGCCCAGTAAATCCTCCCCGGCCAGGATACGTTTCATAAGAATCCCCTCCCCCCTCCCCCCCCTCTCTTTCTCTCTCTGCTAGGTGAACGAAGGCACTAAAGGAAAGGAAACGTGCCCATCCGTTTACGTCCCAGCCGGAAATCGAACCGACGATTCCCGATTATGAGTCGAGGACAAAGACAACTCTACTACAAAGCCGCCATGATTAAAGAAAGATGCACAGGTTTCGTAAGTGATTGCGTAAAGGCTTGACGAATCATGGTCCAGGTTACCTGTGGGCTTAAACACCAGTACTCGGATTCACGAAGCAGTTACGCAAGCACCTAAGAACCTGTACATCTTTTCTCAATCTTTGGCGGCTTTGTTTACAATTATTAAACAGTTAATGAGCTCCGAAGCACCAGGAGGCTGTTTATAACAATAACAACAGTTGATTGGCAAGTTTACATGCTTGTAAACTGTTTAATAAATGTAACCAAAGCCGTCAGAGATTGAGGAAAAAGGTACATGTTCGTAATGATTGGGTATGTTCCATTAGGTGAAGGAAAATCGTGCCCAACCGTCTTTGTTCTTCTCGGGAATTTAATCTGGTTCTCGGTTGTGAGGTGAGGACGAAGATCACTGCTATGTACATTCTAGTAGAAATATGTAAGACCGTTGGTGTTTGACGGTGCCCGTTGGTGTTTGACGGTGACCGTTGGTGTTTGACGGTGACCGTTGGTGTCTGACTGTGACCGTTGGTATCTGACAGTGACCGTTGGTGTTTGACGGTGACCGTTGGTGTCTGACGGTGACCGTTGGTGTTTGACGGTGACCGTTGGTGTTTGACGGTGACCGTTGGTGTTTGACGGTGACCGTTGGTGTTTGACGGTGACCGTTGGTGTTTGACGGTGACCGTTGGTGTCTGACGGTGACCGTTGGTGTTTGACGGTGACCGTTGCTGTCTGACGGTGACCGTTGGTGTTTGACGGTGACCGTTGGTGTCTGACGGTGACCGTTGGTGTTTGACGGTGACCGTTGGTGTCTGACGGTGACCGTTGGTGTTTGACGGTGACCGTTGGTGTTTGACGGTGACCGTTGGTGTTTGACGGTGACCGTTGGTGTTTGACGGTGACCATTGGTGTTTGACGGTGACCGTTGGTGTCTGACTGACCATTGGTATCTGACAGTGACCGTTGGTGTTTGACGGTGACCGTTGGTGTCTGACGGTGACCGTTGGTGTTTGACGGTGACCGTTGGTGTTTGACGGTGACCGTTGGTGTTTGACGGTGACCGTTGGTGTTTGACGGTGACCGTTGGTGTTTGACGGTGACCGTTGGTGTTTGACGGTGACCGTTGGTGTTTGACGGTGACCGTTGGTGTGTGACGATGACCGTTGGTGTCTGACGGTGACCGTTGGTGTCTGACGGTGACTGTTGGTGTCTGACGGTGACCGTTGGTGTCTGACGGTCACCGTCAGACACCATGCAGGAGGCTCCTCGTCACTGGGAGACGCCGCGCAGGGGCCCGCTGTGCGGAGTTACGTGCCCCTTTGAGGAGTTGGGTGACCAGGAAGTGCCGAGTTGGGTCCCTCCTACCGTGTAGCTTGCAGACGAAGGCGATGGCCGCTAGATATGCGTGCAGAGAGCGGTAAGCCAGGCCCCGCGAGAGCAGAGATTGCAGGAAGTTCACCAGAGTCGGAGGTGCAGCATCGAAGGGGCATTCTCCTTGCCGCCCTGCCAAGACGTAGGCGGCGTACTCCACCCACTTAGCCCTGTAAGTACGCCTCGTCGCTGGCTGCAGGGAGTTGAATAGGGTCCTCACAGTTGCAGGGTGAAGTTGCAGGGCAGGAGGTGCGCAGGAACTGTTGTCGGCGTCTCGGCGAGGCCTGCTTCTCGCAGGAACAAGGGCGGCAGCGTCTGTAAGCGGGAAAGAGCATCACAAACCCCATTTAATTTTCCTGGGAGGTGGGAGGGTAGTAGTGTAATGTTATGGATGAGTAACAGCACTGCCAAGGGCCTGACAATTTGCATTAGTAGTGGGCACCTAGCAGAGAGTGTGTTGAGCACGCTTACCACTGCACTGTTGTCCGATTTACACACCAGCCTCTTATTGGCCAATACCGGGGCGAAAAGTGCTATGCCCATAAAGAAAGGGTAGAGCTCGAGCAAAGCAATGTTGAGCCGACCCCAGACCTGAGGCCAGGTTCCCCTGAACCAGGCTGCCCCTAGCGTTAGTCCATACCCCTTGGAAGAAGCATCTGCACACATTGAAAGTGATGGGGCGTTTCCCCACCCGCCATCTGGGGGAAAAACTGTTACTCCATTGAAATCAGTGAGGAAGGAGCGCCAGGCGACGAGATCGTGCTTAGCCTCCGCGTCCAAATGGCATAGGCGCGAGGGACGCTGTGGGCCTCGCGTAAGCGGGTGCAGACGACGCAAGAAGGCCCGTCCTCCCGGGATTACCGCGGTGGCGAATTGCAACTTCCCGATGATCGCCTGCAGATCTCGGAGAGGGATGCGCTCCTGACTCATCGCGACTTCGACCGCTGCCGTGTACTTCGTTCTCTTGTCCTCTGGTAGTCTTGTTTCCATCCTGTGAGCATCAATCTCCAGCCCCAGGAACGTGAGGCAGGAGCACGGGCCCTGCGTTTTGTGAGGTGCCAAGGGGACCCCCAGACGCTCGCAGAGGGCAGTGAACACCCTCAGGCTTCGCTGGCACTCGTCGAACGTGAAACTGACGAAGAGGAAGTCGTCCAATACCTTCACGACGTCGCAGACCCCGTACTTCTCGGCGAGGATCCATTGCAGGGCACTGGAGAAGGACTCGAAGATCCGGCAGGAGGGGGCGGCTCCCATGCTGAGCATCTTCTCGTAGTAGTACTTGCCCCCATAAGAAAACCCCAGCAGATGGTAGTCGCTCGGGTGTACTGGGACGATCCTGAAAGCTTCTGCGATGTCGCACTTTGCCAGGTGAGCCCCCGGGGACCGGCTGACAACCATTGTCACCGCGTCATGGATAGACTGGTAGGTGACGGACGTCGATTCCCGTGGGATGTTGGCGTTCACACTGTCAGGGGAGTAAGGGTAGCTAAGGTTGTGCAGGAGGCGGTACTTGCCCGGCGTAGACTTCTCCCTCAGAGCTATGGGTGAACACTTGAAATTCTTGAAAGGGGGGACTTCGTAGGGGCCCGCGATGCGTCCTAGACTCAACTCCTTGTCGAGCATGGGCCCACGACGTAGTCTCGCAGGGGGTAACCCGCCAGCAAAGCGTCAAGGGCGTCGGCGTCCACCGGCGTTGTTACTGCCGGCGCTCTTCTTAGCCTTGTCCCGTGGTTGTCTTCGTGGGCGCTGGTCATGGGTGGGTCTGTCGCGTAAGTGGGCTGGGGGGCACGAAGTGTAGGCCGGGTGCCGCCCACGGCAGCGCGGGCAGTAGTGCTGGAAGGCGCAGGAAGTAAAAGTGCAGCCGGGTCCTCTTGAGTGGTAGGCAAAACAGTAGCCCGGGGGAGCCCTGCGGCCCGGGCGCTAGAGAGGGAAAGGGCAGCCGGCCGACCTGCCTCCTGTCTGCCTGCCTGGATAGCGACGTGTGCGACCCGCTGTATCGAGCGGAATTCCAGGTCCAGCCTGTAATCGAGCCAAGAACAGTCCGACCTCTCCTTGTCCCATCTGAAGGCCTTGTCGTACCACATCCAGTCGTTTTTGAGGGTCACCTTCATGGTCTTGACGTAGCGGGTGTAGGTGAGCAGGGCCTGAGCCTCGGCCGGGTGCTTCTCTATGTAGAGCGTGGCATAAATGTCGAAGCCGTGCTCCCACTGGGCTGGCGTCAGTGGCATCAGCTTCTTACCAGACGCCTGGGGGTCAGTGGGGGGCGCGAGGCGTGGCTCGTAGGGCCCTGCTTCTCGCTCATGATTGAGCAACTCCCTGAGGTCAACATACTTTTTAGCCCAGATCTTTTCACGGAGGGCCTGTGGTACGTGTACGCCCAGGAGTGGGATGGTGGAAGCCTGGGGAGCCCGTAGGGGTCCCAGCCAAGGGCTAGGAGGAGGGGAAGCAGCGCTCACCCTGGGAGACTCACCATAAGAGGACGGGCTGGAGGAGCTGGCACGGCGCCTCGACGAATGCCCCCTGGCCCTGTATCGTGGGCGACGCTCAGAGGAGAAGGGCGAGGGGGCTGAGGCGGCCGGAGCAGAGGTGGCCAGGGCAGGGGCGGCCGTGGCACCTCCTCCGTCGCGGAGAGCCGCGCCCGATGGGGGCCCACGTGCTTGCGCGATGAGGGCCTGCAGCGTCGTCCAATCATCTGCTGAAAGCGGTGGGAGTTGGGTCACTGTGCCACCCGTTGCTTTGCCCGAATTGTGCAGCTGAGGAGTGCGCCCGGTGTCCGTGTCCGAGCCAGCCGAGGAGGGCTCTGTAGAGGGTGAGGCAAAGCGTGCGGGCTTGGTCCGCGCCCTGGCCGGTTGTGTCCGGGCTCCACTACGTTGCTGTCCTCGCGTTGACGCCGTCCGAGCCCTCTTCCTTGTTGCAGATGTAGGGTGGTCCGTCTTCTCGCCACTGCGGAAAGGGGGAACGTTAGTGACAGCCTGACTAACCTGGCGACAGGCAGGGGGAAAAAACCCGACTGCCGCCCCTGCTAGCATACCATAACATAACATAACATATAACATACATAACATAACATATAACATAACATATAACATAACATATAACATAACATATAACATAACATATAACATAACATATAACATAACATATAACATAACATATAACATAACATATAACATAACGTATAGCATAACATATAACATAACATATAACATAACATATAACATAAGATAAGCAAACATAACATAAGCGAAGTGTAAATTGTGGGAAAAAAAATTTTTGTAATAAATACGAATCATAATTGCGAGTCCAACCGTAGCAAATTTAACAGATAAGCAGACGTAGGAGGGACCAAGGGGACGGTTCCCACGGGCGGGCCCGGGCCCCACAGGCACGGCTGGGGGGGGGGGGGCGGAAATGGCATATAGGTCCGAAGAGAAGATAACGTCGCCGAGGCGCGCTGGACGGCACACCACCCGGCTGAGAAAGGACATAGGCCCAAAAACGAGAGGCGACAATCGTAGAATGGGATGGAAGAATGCGGAAGTAAGCGGGCGAGACCGAGTAAACAGGGGACCAGGGGGGGGGGGGGGCAACCGATAAGCCGCGGCTCGCGCACCGCTGGCCATACCTAGACATACTAATTTACTTAATAACTCTGCAAATAGCACATCCTGGCTGACTTTACTTAATAATTTACTTAGTAAGGCTGCAATTAGCACATCCTGGCTGACTTTACTTAATAATTTACTTAGTAACTCTGCAAATAGCGCATCCTGGCTGACTCTACTTAACTTACGTAGGAAGTCTGCAAATAGCCCATCCTGGCTGACTACTTAATAATTACTTGGTAACTCTGCAGATAGCACATCCTCGCTGACTTTACTTAAAATTTAATTAGTAACTCTGCAAATAACACATCCTGGCTGACTTTACTTAATGACGGAAGGCAAGGAAAAGAACAAACATACTGAACACAGCTACGCAACAATAAACATGCGGCATGTGCAAGCATCAGCTGACGGAATAAATTAAGGTAGGCTGATTGGGAAAGGGAACCGTGGTAATCAGAAAGCAGGGGGCATGTTAGTGCTGAAACGAGAATAAAGAAAGGGGGGGGACCCGGCAAGTGCAGGGCCAGAGGCATAAAGCAAGAGGCGAGGGCCCACAACTGCACCTCGCGCGTCCTGGCTGCCTAGAGGCCACAGCGAGGAAAGGGGACACTAACTGAAGACACTGCCAAGGAAACAAAGGATGGCTGAAACAAAGAATAACGTAAGCTAAAAGTAACAAGTCGCCCTATAGTAAACAAAAATGTTTTTATAACAAACATAATGGATGCACGACACAAGTGTAACCAAATAGTAACAGGGATGAATAGTGGAGAATGGGACATTTCGCCCTATAATAAATAGAAACACTTAATGACAACCATAAATGAAGCACATCACAAATGTTACCAAATAAGTAAGAAGTATTAAATTGTGTTAGGCTAAATGGAACATATCGCCCTAGAATAAATAAACCAATTTTACATTAAGCATCGGAGGAAAGCATAACATAAATAACCATAGAAGTAACGTGAATAAACTGCAATAGCCAAGCATGAACTACTGTAACTACCTATGAATCTAGGCAAATTGCCGGGCCAGGAAGCGAAGCTAAAATAAGGGCCCGCGAAACTGCAAATAGCACAGCCTGGCTGACTTTACTTAACAAATCTAGGAACTCTGCAAAACACTTCCTGTCTGACTTTACTTAATAATTCTAGGAACTTTGCAAAACACATCCTGGCTGACTTTACTTAAATTTCTAGTAACTCTGCAACGAGCACTGCCTGGCTGACTTCACTTAATAATTTTCTTAGTAATTCTGCAAATAGCACATCCTGGCTGACTTTACTTAGTGAGGCAGGCAGGGTGACATAGGCAAGCATACTGAACACAGCAACGTACAAATAACCGTGCGGCAAGCAACGCACCAACTGTCGGGGTAAATTAAGGAGGCTGGTTGGGAAAGGGAGTCGAGGTAACCTAAAACAGGAGGCATGTTAGCGCTGAAATGTAGAACATAATTATGAAAAAGGGCAGGCATGTCACGTGGGATCTGCAAGTACAAAATAAGGGTATACAAACGGCGTGGATATATAGCCATTTTACATTAAGAGAACGGAGGAGATGCATAACATAAATATAACCAAATAAGCGACGTGAATAAACTGCAAGAGCCCAGCGAAAGACTAACTACTGAGGAAACTAGGCAAAATGCAGGGCCAGGGAACGTAAAGCAAATTAAGGGCCCGCAAATACTGCAAAAGGACATCCTGTCTGACTTTACTTAATAAATTACTTATAACTCTGCAAATAGGACATCCTGGCGACTTTACTTAATGACGTAAGACAAGGACAAGTGAACAAGCAAACTGTGACACAGCGGACGCGAAGGTTGAACGTACGACATGCACAAGGCTACGAATGCCTGAGTAAAGTTAGGCTGGGGCAAAGTGAAACCGAGGTGATCTGAAAGCAAAGGCATGTCGGTGCTGAAATGTAGAACATAAATATGAATAAGGGCAAGGCATGTCGCGGGAAGTCTGCTAGTACATGATAAGAAACCTTCCAAATTTTTATTTCACACCAAGTGTGAGAAAGACTTAATATACAGTGTCTTAAGGAGGCAGAGAATGGGGATCATTAAATATACGACGTTCCCGACGACGCTTCGACGCCGCCATCTGCTGGAGGATACCATGCCCCAGGCGACGTGGGGGCCACCCCCCTGTCCAGGGCACGGCCCCTGGAACTGGACGCCGAGGGCTTAACGAACATAACGAAGTCATCCTGGATTGCCGGCGTCGACGCCGAACCCAGGGCGTGTGGTGCGTACCCGTAGACGTAAACCTGCCGTCGTCGTCGAGCTGATCTCGGGTCCTTGCTCCAACGCCGGCGTCTCCCTCTGACGAAGAAGAACAACAGGCGACACAGGCGGACGAACGCTGAACTTACGACGTAGGAGGAATCCCTGCTACGACGGGCGTGCAGGGCGCTTAAGACAAACACACCAGGATACCCTGGCCAGGCGGGAGCGCCTGGGAACCAACCTGCCGGCAACACCGGCCAGACGGAGGACATGGAGTAACGGCCCTGGCTACCCCCCAGGCAAGCAGGGCACGTGCCTGAGGGCCTGGACGGCGGAAAGCTTGAAATAACACACCGGGCAACACCGGCCAGACATACGTCTGGGGACTACATGCCGGACTTACACCGGCCGACGGACGTCTGGGGACATCTTGATCGGCGCCACTCTGGGGAAGACGTACCTGGAGACTCCGGGACACCGAAGGGCCTGCATGGGCTAACACCCCGGGCAACACGGCCGGGCGAGACGTCCGAGGGCGACGTGCCTAGCAGAGAACACACCACACACGGCAAGGACCCCGTGGCCTACCAACCACGCGCTGCCACACGGCATGCTCAGGGCCTAGACGAAAAGGGGAGGGGGGGGGGGCCGCACACAGGCGCGGCCGTACGGGCGCAAGGCAGCCCGAGCCCCGACGTGGGAAGCCGTGGCGCAAAGCCACGTGGATTAGCACCCAACAGGGGACAGGAAGGGCGGGACACAGCCCAATCGTGCGCGCCACGGAACGCCGTGCCACGTAGCAGCACGACCTGGCGTGTGCCCCGTAGCAGGCCCGGGCGGAGGGCTGGACCTGGCCACGAGTCGTCGCCAGGGGCGACGCTTGTCCGCACAGGGAGACCCGACCCCTGGGGACATCCCAGGGAAGCCGGCAGACCGGCAACAGGGAACACCCGAGGGAAAACCAGGAAAAGACGCAGAAGCACGCCCTGCCGGCCAGGCACGTGACGACCCGGCAAGGCATGCATTGGCCCCAAGGCGGGGCCCGCCATAGGGCCGCCCACGCCTGACCACGTGTCGCCGCCGCCGAGAACAAGCGCCCCGGGCGTAGGACCGAACCTGGCCACAACCCGTCGCCGACGGCGACACATGTCCTCGGACAAGGCGAAACCTGGCCCCCTGAGACACCCAGGGAAAACCGGCGGGCCGGCGACAGGGGGCCCCGGAGGAAAGGCGGGAAGGACGCCGAAGCACCCCAGACGACCCCAAGGCCAATAAAAAGGAGACGGCCCCAAGGCAGAGCACAAAGGGCGTAGGGCCCACCACGCCTGGCCACATGGCGACGCCGGCAAGGGCACGCCTGGCCGCCGATGGGGCCCCGGGCAGGGCGCGCGCCTAGCACGCCGCGCGGCGGGACCCCTTGGTCACGGACGGGCACGGCTGGACGGGGCCCCACAAGAGAGGAGACCGAACGCAGGCCACTAGGGACGCGGCCCAGGGCACGCCGACCCTAAGCCAGCCACGCGACCAGCACGGCACGGGGCACCCGGCACAGGCCCAGGAAGGGCGCCCCAGCTCTCCGGGAACAACAACAGAGAGCCCAGAGGACTGACTAAGGCGGCACACACGTACCGCGAGGGGAAGGCGCTTGGCACACGCCGCACTGGGGAGACCTGACTAGAACTGAACAGAAAACCTCACCTTGGGTTTAGAAGTGTAGGGCAGGAGGGGCCTGCCGGAACAGTCTGGGGTGTCGAGGGCCCCAGGATGTCCGTGAGAGAGAGGTCAGGTACCGAGGCAGCTGGCGTGTTGTCCATCTCGTGCGAAGTCGGGCGGCCGGGGAGTGGTTGCGAGGGCAGCGGCGAGGGTAGGCGGAGTGAGGGCAGAGCCCCGTTGTGCGCCCGTATTTATAGGGGCCCCAAACTGCCCGCGCAACGCCGCGGGACGCGCTGCGCAATTGTTTCCTTCTCCCCCGCCAGAAACATCCCCGCTTGCAATCAAGCAAGCAGTGACCATTTCCTGAATCTAGGTCCTGCCCGAAACGCTGCGCGTACTAGTGGTTTTACAAGAATGTAAATACTGTACTATCCAATGTATTCTCACAAACCCAATGTACCTTCTTGTATATATATAAATAAATAAATAAATAAATAAATAAATAAATAAATTTATTATGCACCCCATACCCATCTTGGGGCGGTAGTGGAAAGGGTTACAGAGGCACATAATGGGCTCAGGGACTGAACCCCACAATTCATTTAGCTAAGCAAGTTACAAGCAAGATAAATAAATAAATAAATAAATAAATAAATAAATAAATAAATAAATAAATAAATAAATAAAATAAAGTCATCTTCATTTGTCGGTAATCTGGAGAGTAACCGACCACAACACGAGAACGAATCCTCGTGCTCGGATTGTTTTCTTGCTAATATAGTTATTAGTGTTGAGAGTTAGGGGTCATGGCGGCCCAGATGAGTCAGGAGAGGTGGAATGAGCTGGTGGCGAGGTTTCTGGGGGTGGAGACAACTCCAACTGGCGGGGCAGAGAATGAGGCGGCGTTGGCCGGCACTCTCTGCGACCTGTGCCACTGCTACTCCAGGCTCAGGATAGTCTACGACCACAGGGTAAGAATCTTCTCTTGGCCTCAAAAAATGGTCCACAAGAGGAGCCATTAAACGTCATCCCTACTCTTTAACCAAACCTATCATTTCCTACTATAATCCAATAGAAATACAACATAAATTTATTATTTATACTGCATGCTTCGGCATTTTGGTTATCTGTCTGACAAATTGAGGAGGCACTAGTTAGTGCCTCCTCAATTTCTGGCTTGCCTGGGACTAGTCTGGTCCCTCACACACACTGGTGCCTGGTGGCTGAGTGGACAGCACTTGGGACTCGTAATCCTATGGCCCAAGATTGATCCCGACGATGGCGGAAAGAAATGGCCAGAGTTTCTTTCACCCTGATGGCCCTGTTATGTAGCAGTAAATAGGTACCTAGGAGTTAGACAGCTCTTATGGTATGCTTTCTGGGTGTATGTGTAATTACCTAAGTGTATTTACAGGATGAGAGCTACGCTTGTGGTGTCCCGTCTTCCCAGCACTCTGTCATATAACGCTTTGAAACTACTGAAGGTCTTGGCCTCCACCACCTTCTCCCCTAACTTGTTCCAACCGTCTACCACTCTGTTTGCGAAAGTGAATTTTCTTATATTTCTTCGGCATCTGTGTTTAGCGGGTTTATATCTATGACCTTTTGTTCTTGAAGTTCCGGGTCTCAGGAAATCTTCTCTATCGATTTTATCAATTCCTGTTATTATTTTGTACGTAGTGATCATATCACCTCTTTTTCTTCAGTTTTCTAGTTTTAGCATATTTAATGCCTCTAACCTCTCCTCGTAGCTCTTGCAATTCAGTTCTGGGAGCCACTTAGTAGCATGCCTTTGCACCTTTTCCAGTTTGTTGATGTGCTTCTTAAGATATGAGCACCACACAACCGCTGCATATTCTAGCTTTGGCCTAACAAAAGTCATGAACAATTTCTTTAGTATATCGCCATCCATGTATTTAAAAGCAATTCTGAAGTTAGAAAGCGTGGCATAGGCTCCTCGCATAACGTTCTTTATGTGGTCCTCAGGTGATAGTTTTCTATCTAGAACTACCCCTAGATCTCTTTCTTTATCAGAATTCTTTAAAGATTTCTCACATAATATATAGGTTGTATGGGGTCTATGTTCTCCTATTCCACATTCCATAACATGGCATTTATTAACATTAAATTCCATTTGCCAAGTGGTGCTCCATATACTTATTTTGTCCAGGTCATCTTGAAGGGCATGTGTGTGTGTGTGTGTGTGTGTGTGTGTGTGTGTGTGTATGAAAATAAAAAGTTGATTGATTGACAGTTGAGAGGCGGCAGAAAGAGCCAGAGCTTAACCCCCGCAAGCTCAACTAGATGAATAAACTCACACAGTGTATGTGTGGGGGACCAAGTGCCGAGTGCTACTGGTTAATTGCCCAAATCTTTAAGCGCAAGCAATGTACACTAATGAAAGGAACTGCTGTTGACTTAAGCATGAATCATTGGAGGTTCAAGTGAGCACTGCATGAACTCTATTCCTGGATGTTGAATTCCTGGTAAACTGGCAGAAGTCCCATTTGTTTACCTCCCAGGTTCAATTTGGTTGCGCCTGGTTTGAGATTCTCGGTTGGCTTTCTTTTCCCTTCTATATACAGCTCTACTCTGCTTGTAGTCTAGACCAGCTGCCGATTACTAGCCAGCTTGTAAAGTAGTTTTTCAGGAGCCTGAACAATGCCGGTGTGGTTCTCTCTCTCTCTCTCTCTCTCTCTTGGGCGGAACTTGTCTACTAAGATTGTCAAGTTTAGATGATGTTTGCCCTCCACTGGCTTTTGCTTCCTTTTCAGGTTTATCAGGGTTCAAAGTGTTCACTGAAGCTTCGGCCTTAGGTTGGGGCTTTATGACGTGTTCACCAGGCTGCCTCCAGTGCAATTTTCTGAATCTCGGATGCAAATTCTCGGCAGTTTAATGATAAACTTATGAAAATAGAATACTGCTTAGAAAGCCTCACAAACCCTGCCCCTAACATCATCTTGCTTGGTGATTTCAACTAAAGGCACCTAAAATGGAAAAATGTGGCAAATACTATTATAGCAGAGAGAATTCCAGGAAGCAGTGTGAATGAGCAGTCGCACACAAATGACCTCTTGCAGATGTGTGACAGATTTCCTGTAAAGCAGCAAATAGTAGAATCAACTAGAAAATAAAATGCCCTAGGTCATCTCTTTATATACATCGATGAACTGATTAGGGACATAATGATTACAGATATGTGACTCAGATCATAACCTAATCGAAGTTCAGATAAGCATGACAATAGCCCTCTGCAGCCAGTCTCAAATCCAAGAATGGGGGGGGGGGGGGGGAAGAATTCAGCAAATTCAGCTTGAGTAACAAATTCATTAACTGGGAATGAATAAACCAAGACCTCACAGAAATATAATTATTGATTGTCATCCACACTTCCGTGGTAATAAACGTTTCATTCACCTGGGTTCTAGGAAACTCAAACCACGGACTCCACACGTGTCAGGCAGAGGCTCCACTCAGCTGTGAGTAGTCATAATAAGGAATGATTCCAGAAGCAAATACTGCTGCTTTGCTGGAATTTTCAGCTTCCCCCTCACTACTACAGAAGCTCAGAGGAATTAGTGATCCACTCCCCGCATCATATCAATTGTCATCCACTCTTACTAAGACTACTCACAGCTGAGTGGATAGAGCCTCCGCCTCACATGCATGGGGTCTATGGTTCGAGTCTCCTAGAGCCCAGGTGAATGAATTATAATTATAAATAATTCATTGTGTTGTGGGACAGGCAGCCAGTTTATACATACAGAACATGTTTAGCTTATATAGAGGTCTCCTTCAGGGTTGAATTACTGATCCTTCCTAGGTTGCACCCCACAACACATTGACTAACTCCTGGGTACCTATTTACTGTTAGGTGGACAGATGTATTAAGTGATGGTATGGAACCTATTTACTGTTAGGTGGACAGGTGCATAAAGTGATGGTATGGAACCTATTTACTGTTAGGTGGACAGGTGTATTATTAAGTGATGGTATGGAACCTATTTACTGTTAGGTGGACAGGTGTATTAAGTGATGGTATGGAGGGCACATACCACTAAGAAAAAAAAGAGAAAAATATGCAAATTGGAACAAGAATGAAGTCCCCTCCATAGGTGAAGAAAAGAAATAGGAGAACATCGCAAATGCTCCATTCTATCCTAATAATGGCAAGGAAGGCTATGTGGACAAATATAAATGGTCAAACTCAAGCTGCAAGAATCATATACAATCCAGGAAAGGCAAAGAAAGCAAAAAGCTATAAATGAAATAGAAAAGGATCTGAAATACCTTTTCTGCTATGCAAAAACTAGATAAAAAACTGCATCTAGCATTAGGCCCTAGTGCAAGGGTTATGGAACTTTCACAGATGGTAACAAAGAAATGAATGAAATACTGAAACTTCAGTATGATTCTGTTTTCAGTGAAGCTCTGAACACATTGAAGTTCTTATGATCCAAACAAATACTTTATGAATGTGACACCAACATTGAACTTCAGCAGCAATGTGACACCAACATTGACAATCAGATGTCGCCCTAACCCCACTGGACTTTGAAGTAGCCATAGCACTCCCCTGTGCTCTGCATCAGGCCTAGACTCCTTGAATTTTATATTCATCAAGAAGTGCAAAACTCCACTATCGCAGGCCCTAAACATGTTTTGGAGCTGGAGAATAGATTCTAGTATTATCCCTGACATACTTAAAAGAGTATGACAATAACTTCTCTCAACAACTACATTATGACACCACCTGATTCTCCTGACAACATCTTCTACCACTGACATCACCTGCCTCCCCTAACAATGACTTCCATCACTGACATCACCTGCTTCCCCTAACAATGACTTCCATCACTGACACCACCTGCCTCCCCTAGCAACAACTTCCACCACCTGCCTCACTTGACACCACCTGTCTTCCCTGACATTCACCACTGACACCACTTGCCTCTCCTGACAACTTCCACCACTGACACCACCTGCCTTTCCTCATAACTTCCACCACCTGCCTCTCCTGACAACTTTCACCACTGACATCACCTGCCTCTCCTCACAACTTTCACCACTGACATCACCTGCCTCTCCTCACAACTTTCACCACTGACATCACCTGCCTCTCCTCACAACTTTCACCACTGACATCACCTGCCTCTCCTCACAACTTTCACCACTGACACCACCTGCCTACCCTGACACTTGCCCTCTGGCACCAACCCTCACCAATGACTCCACCTGCCTTCCCAGACACCATTTTGTCATCCTTCAACCCCTTCTCCATGGAAGCAATGGGAAAGCAAAATGAAACACTATACAACGGTTTATATGTTGGTGAATCATAATGACAGCCACCTCCCGATGCTCGGTCTCGGTGAGGGCTTGGACAAGCAATCCTCACTTAATCGAACATTTATATGTTCCACTGAACATTTAGTACTCAATACACTTTGTTCAGACAATCCAGGAATTCATTTGAGTTATTCGTTACAGTGAGGATGCACTGTGTTTACTTTTACAGAGTGGTAGGTGGTTGGAACAAGTTAAGTGAGAACATGCTGGAGACCTAAACCATCGGTAATTTCAAAGCAATGTCTGACAGTATCTGGAAGGCGGGACACCACGAGCGTAGCTCTCATCCTGTAACTATACTTAGATAATTACACTTTTATTACATAGCCTTTCTATTATGATAGGAAAAAGCAGAAGCTTCAAAACTTTAATAGTGGTAACTAGTTTTGGCAAAAATATTTGTGCCAGAATTTTAATGTTATTTGATTTACTATTGTAATTATTGTTTTCTTCCAGCAAATTCAGTCCTTAGTGGATCACTGTGTGTCAGGAATTGTGAGTCCCAAAAGTGCCTTGGTCAAACAGGTATCGCAGTTCCTTGCCTCGCTCCTCAGGCAACAAGGCAGCACAAGCCTCTCCTCAGTGACATTGGATAAGGTCATTGTTTGGCTCAGTTCTGCACTCCATTCCCACGGGAGGAACGAGACTGGAAATGAAACTGTTCGTCAGATGTTGCGTGCTCTAGCTGCTGCCCTAAGAGATTCTCTTGACCATTCTGATGAGGTGAGATTTGCTCTTTTTTCAGCATTAGATTTCCCTAGCTTGCTTATTTTGTCCAGTTTTATCTACCCCATTATATTTAGTTTTTTCTAGTTTTATTTCATTGTACTGTACTATACAGTATTTTATATATTCATAAGCACATGAATAAATGCACTCCTAATATGGTTTTTTAAGGTGGTCACACCAGGGTAACAATCAATGAGACAAAAAACAAACAAAATTTATTTTTTCCAAAATGAATATTATATAAGCTTTGTACAGTATGCCTTTTCTTTGAGGGGTCCCTTTAGTGGATTCCAGTGCAACTTGCCTGGGTATCTCCAAGCCTAAAGCATCCCACTAAGCCCTCATCAGTCATGAGCAGTTTTTTGAGACCAGAACTGGAATATGACCCCCATCAGTAAAGGCAAGGGTAGTTTGGGAATACAAGATCAACCCAGGCTAAAAAAAAAAGAAGTTATGTAGAGTGAACCAGAACAAGCAACTGAACGGAAATTATTGGTATCCCTGATGTAAACTCTGGTGTTCATGACTCATAAGGGCCTTTTAGATATTTGGGTATCCAGGTGGGTAGCCTGCAGAGCTACTGAGTGGGCAGTTACAAACTGTTTTTTTTTTTGTTGAGACTTATGGCTACTGTGTCTCCCCTGATTTTCCTTACTTGACTTTACTCTAAGAATATACAGTACTTCATCTATGGTAAGAAGGTAAACACTTTAAAACACTACCAGTTTATTACAGTGTAACTGCATTGAAATACTATGTATACATAAAATAATAAACTTGGGATCACTTACTATATAACACTGTAATTACTATTTAATTATTAAATAGTTATCTAATAATGTACTCGCCCCGTCCTTCCTTATGATGTCGGCCAAGTGCGGCTTCACGTGCAGGTTCCCTCCCTTTCGGCATCCCTAGTGGCTGAGGATTTGTGCGCCCGTGGGCACTTTGCTTCGGACTTGCGCTTCTTTTCCCTGCTGTAGCTGTCTTCGGACTGGCTCGTGCTGGGTGCGGAATAGCTGGGTTCCGGGCCAGGGTCCAGTGTGCTTGCTTTGGTAACTCGGCCGCTGGCTGCCTTGGTGAAGTTGTATGTGCCTTTTCTGAGGGAGGTGGTGTCTGTTCTTCACTTCTCGTCTCGTGTGCTGACAGGTGGTGCTCGTCCTATTTTCTGTGGGGAGCCCCTACGGCTCCCTGGAGCTTATCGGGCTAATGTGTGTTATGTTAGACCGGGACATTAGCTAAGGAGTTCAGACCTACCAGGGACCAGCGCCAGAACCTGGCCCCTTCAGAGAGGTTTCAGGGAGCAATGGCCCTGGAAAACCCCATATGGTTGGGGGTTTTCCTTATCTGCCATCGACCGGGGTTAGGCACCCAGAAAGGTAGGCGTAACAAAACAAACCCCACATGGTAAGAAACTACAACAAAAACCGAACAGAGAGGTAGAAAACTCCCTACAATCCCAAGGAAACAAGCAAACAAGCAAACATCACACTTTACTGCCGCGCCGATCGTCCGCGCAGCCCTCCCCACCCCGGGAGGGGGAGGGGGGAGCCCCGGACCTACCGCGCCGGCTGCCAAGCTCCAGTTCGTTCGCTAATGTCAACCGGGATTGACGCTTCTCTGGCCTCAGTTTCCTAGGCGGTGTTTGCCTTGTGTGGCGTTCACTGCCGTGTGTTGTGGTGTGCGGTGGCCAGGAGTACTTCATCAGTGCCGGGGCTGCATGTGCTTAGTGGCTGACTTCCCTAAGCGCCCTGTGAGTACTGCCCTTGCGTTACAGGGTTATCTTCCCTGGGGCATTCGGGAACCATTCCCGTAGAGGTTCTTGCTGCTCGGCATTTGCCTCGCCCTTGGGGCCAGCTGGGGCTTGGGGCCCTTGTTTGGCCCTGGGTAGGGATTGGTATTGTGCTGGTTAGGGCGTCAAGGTGTTGCGCAGCCTGCCACCTAAGCGGCGGCCGGTTTCTGTTGCCTCTGGAGACGGTGTACTTTTGCGGGGTTTTTCTTTTGTTTTTCATTTTCTTGCCTGGTGGGGGTCTGCCTAAGGTGGTTATAGTTCCACTGGTAGTGTTTGGCGGCCCTCTGCTAGGCCCCCGTGCTTGTACACGTCTCGGGGGTTTTCAGTGCTATAATCTACCCTCTTGTTATGTTTGGGTTTCTTAACCGGTTAGCAACACCTTGCCCGGGCTTCCCGTAGTTGTTACCCTACGGGCCCTGGAAACCCCTGTCTGGGCTCGGGGGACCATTGAATGTGTCTTCCGGGTTCCAACCCGTCTTGTACGGGATCGTTGGTTGCTGTTCCCTTGTCTCCGGGTGACAGTCGCCATTTTTACCTCCGTCATGCTGCCTGTTGGGTCACTGACACCTTGACCCGGAGTCTTGCGAGTGATTCTCTGCTTGTTCTCCAGTACTCTCCTGATGTTATTACTGTTCAGAGTACAGGCGGCATCCGTGTTGCAAGCTAGGTTAGGTTGCTGCAACATGCTAGGTTGGTTTCCCACTCGAATGCCCCGTGGCCGCCCCGTTGGTTAGGTGCTGCTCGCCCCTTTCTCTCCATGTTCCCGGCTCCGGACCGTCTGCGTGTTTCTGGGTCGGGGCGGGGTTCAGTTGCGGCAGAGACTCGGGCGGTTTTCGGGGGATGCCCCGTTCGGGTTGGGGACGGAGGTTTGAGCCTGTGCCTCCTGCCAAGGCTTCTGGGTCTTACCGGCGGCCCTTTCTTGTTGCCTTTCCCATGGGCTCTTGCTTTTCTTTAAGGGCGGAGGGCTTGGAGGACGGCTCTGCCCCGGGCCTCTGTTGTTGGTTCCCGGGGCTGTGGGGGATGCCTACTAGCAGTTCTGGGGCGGTTTTGCCCCTTCAGGGGTTTTTCTGCTGTTGGGCGTCGTTTTTCGCCCTTCCAGTCTGCTAGCTTCCCACATTTGCTGGCGTGTTTTGTGTATTAAGCGTCAGTCACAGCCCCTGCTGGCGGCCATTTTCATCTGCCGGTTTCCCGGCGTGGCCACCAGGGCGGCGTTGCGGTTTGTTTACATGCGTCTGGGTGTGCGAGCGAGCGTCTCTGGTGAGTTTTCAAAAAATTTGCAGGGTTTTTGTTCTCCTGTTGTCGTTTCTTTGTTTTCTGGTGTTTTCTTGCCGTTGCCTGTTCCTCTGGGAACGTTTGGGTGTTGATTTTGGGTCTGAGCCTCTGGGTTTAGGCTCAGTGCCCCTGGCTGGTATGCTTGCTCCCACACCTTGCCCCTCGGTTTTCGGTCTGTTGGGACCGTTTTCCCAGGGCGTTCTGCTGGGGTCTGTGCTTTGCCTTTTAGTGGTGTTCTCCGCCGGCAAATGTGGTGGTTTGGGCTCCCCCTGGTTCGATTCTGGGTTCCTTTGGGTTCCTTGGTTTCGTTCTGGAGGTTTCTTCCTCTTGGGCCCCCTTTTGTGGGTTCAGGGGACTTTGTTTCCTCATGTGACCCGGTTCTGCCTTTTGGGGTTCCGGGGTCTTCCTGGCTTGCAGACTGAGCTTTTTGGGTCTTGGCACATGTTGTGGTTGTGCTGGGACTTTGTGGTTTTGCTGTCGAGGTGGGCCTTTTGATGCAGTTTTGTGCCTTCTTTGCCTGGCCGGCGTAGTGCTCTTTGCCACTAGTCGGCGGCTTGTGCTTTTACAATATATGTCCTCACCTAGTTGTGCTTGTGGGGGTTGAGCTCTGGCTCCTTGGTCCTGCCTCTCAACCGTCCGTCATCAGGTGTATCGGTTCCTGTGCCTCTTGGGCTCTGTCATGTCTACATGTGACATTGTATGGGGGTCAGCCTCGTTACTTGTGTGAGGAGTCGCCACATTACTTCTTAGTGCTTTCCCGTTCCCATTCTGACACTCAAAAAAAAAAAAAAAAAAAAAAAAAAAAAAACTAATTCTATCTGTGGCTCTTTTGGGTACTCAGTTTCCACCTGTGTCCCCTAGTGCGTGTGCCCCTTGTGTTACATATCCTGTCCTTCTCAACCCTGTCGATTCCCTTGGGTATCTTGTATGTGGTGATCGGGTCTCCCCTCACTTCCTCTTCCAGCGAAGTGTGGTTTCATTCCCGTAGTCTCTCCTCATGACTTCGGTAGTGTACTTTTTCTTTCTGAAGGGGTTCTGTTCCCTTCTCTGTTGACTGGGCGCTGGGGGAGCAGCTTGCTCTGTTGCCTCTCGCTTGGTCCCGCTGTTGGTGGGCGCTTTGGGTTGTCTTCCGGCCTCTGCTGGCGTCGGAGGACGGCTTCTCCCCCTTGGGGGGGGTTCAGAGCTGGCGGGGTGGGCTTCTTCCCTGCGCTTCGTCATTTCCTCTTCGTGGGTGCGTGGGGCGTGGTCGATCCGCCCCATCCTTCTGGGCTTCCCGTCTGCTGTTTGCAGTCATGAGTTTTTCCCGTCTGCTCTTTGCAGTCATGAGCTTTTCCAGTCTGCAGTTCTTCTGGACTACTTCCGTCTGCGCCCTGGATCCTCTGCCCTGCTCGGAGGACTGTTGTCTCCTGTTCGGATTCTGTTAGGGCCGGGTGCATGGATGGTGGACCTGGACCTCCAGGTCACTTCTTGGCACGTTCCTCTCCAGTTTTTCTGGGGCTAGCACGGTTGGTAATTACCTATGTGTACTTACCTAAGTGTAGTTACAGGATGAGAGCTACTCTCGTGGTGTCCCGTCTTCCCAGCACTCTTTGTCATATAATGCTTTGATTATAATTGTCATATTGTCATATAATGATTGTCATGTCATACGTCATAATATGTCTTCATATGATTGTCATACAATGCTTTGGTGGTGGGGCTTCAGGTTTGCTGTTTTTATTGCATTCCCTATTTTGTGAAGGGCACTTTGTATACTCTTTGCATCTTTACCGGATCTTAGTGCCCTGTCTGCGTCTGAGATTCGGTGTCTGGCCTACCTCGACGACTGGCTGGAGTGGGCTCCCAGTCAGTCCGCTTGTCTGCTCGCCAGGGGATGGTTCTTTCCAGATCGCTGGGTTTGGTTTCCTGGTGATCTGGAGGTTTTACCTTC